ATCTAACACGCCATGAATACGGAAATGGTGGAGCACATACAGGCGGGGTAACAGCATCTAAGCCATGCATACACAAGCACTCGGGACAAATATGGTGTTCACACTCAAGCCTATGATGTTCGTAACATTCAAAACTGTTCTTCACCCTGTGTAGTCATCATTAGGAAGGCTGTTGCTCCTTTTACAGAAATGCAAGGAAAGGAATTTAGAAGAAAGATAAAAAAGGTACTGTAATTGGACCATTAGACATTTCAGCTCCCATACAATAGTCACAAACCTGTATGAATACCATAGTAAACCCAAGCATACTTACACACTCTAGGTCTGTAATTACTATTGTTAAAAACAGTTAAAAATATATATAATTTATCCTCCAAACTTGTAAAAAAACTTTTTGTATATATTTATAATTTATACTGGCTGTATTGCTATTAGATTTTACTTTTTTATAAGCTCTTCAAAATCAGTTTTACATTACAGAAGTATTATCAACCATACATATCACCCATTAAATAAAATACAAGTTGGTTTCAACACTAGCATTTTCTTTATATATATAAATATAAATCAAGTTTGAGGTGTTCACCTTCACCTTTAAGCTTCTCTTTAGATATACTGTACTGTAAACTTTCCACCTGTGATTGGTTGTTTTTTTAGTATGAAGTTTCAGTAGAAAAGTTTCATGAAAGTTTATAAAGTATATAATATTGTGATTGGAAAATAAAACTTATGGAGTTTATGAATTTTTTGAAAAATGTGTACTTGTGTGATTGTTAGGCTAGAAACATTATGTTGCCTATATTAAGGGTAATAGGAAATAATCTAATTATTTAGCCATTAAATTTATAAGCTTTTTAAGCCTTTCCTTAATGTATGTTTTTCACTGGAAAAAATGAGTGACATTTATTTGTAGTAATAGCTGTGAACTTTTTTTACCATCTCTGGAAAGTGTATTGGTGAAGTGCCATAAGTGTCACAGTTATTAGTTAGTTTTCTGATTAGTAATTTTATCAGTCATTTCATAGTGTTTATTTAAGAAAAAATAGGCAAATATCTATAAATTCTGTCCTTTCGTATCACAAATTCGCTTGTTATTGGACTGTCAGCTTTCTGCTATTTCTTTTCATGAAAACTTTATTTATATATAAGTTTGGTTAAAGTGAAACAGTATTTGTAATTTCCAGTATGGTGTATCTTTTTTTTATATGTAGAATTTATTTAAAAGATTACCCATTCACTGTTTTGCAGCTGGATGAATTCTGGGATGATTTCAGTAACTTGGGAACTGGAGATACTGGAGGTGACGTTAATCTTCTTGAACTAGAGCCAACTCTCAATCTTCCATCAACGGTTGGTATCTAACTGTTAAGGTGAATCTACAATTATATGTTTCTGAAGTGTTAGATGTTGTTCTGCAGGGATTTAATGAACAGGTAGCAGTTCTGGAATAACTTATTTTTAACATTCTTGACAAAATTTGGATTCTCTAGGGTTTGCTATTTCAATTAGGTACTAACAAAAAAAATAGATGCAAATTCTTAAGATATGGAAAGTTTTGTTAAATATTCATTCTTTTAACCAAATTTTAATAAATTGAGTTAAAAATATATCTGTAGAATGAAAATATTAATATTTCAATAAGAAATTTTGAGCTTGTTTTGTTTTACTTTAGTTACTACACATATACCTTAAATAATTCAATCACTTTATCTTTATTCTGACATTTATTTGTGTATCAATAAGTTTTAAGTTCAGATTGTTTAGCTACATTTTGATAAACTTTGAATGTTAGTAAAGATAAAAAAACTGAAATATTTTGACATACTTTACATGGTTTCTGGTTATCATTTATGAACAAAACATTCATAAAATTGGCACCTAAGTCTCTGAATGCTTTCATAAGGATTACTTGAGGGTGGTTTACAAAAATATTTGATTGAGATCTAAGAAGTCAGGTGGCTAGAGGAAGATGTAACAAGTTGGGTAGCTAGTATGAGGTGTAATCATTCAGGTGATTAAAAATATCTACCCATTCAGCAGGGAAATAGGTTTTTAAAGTGTAATTTGCCTCAATTTATACTTCTTCAGACAAAAGAAAGTAATATTTCTTTTGGAGTATATTGCTTACCATTTAACAAAGAAGTTATTGTTAGGCTTTTAAAAGAGAGCTTACTTAGTTTCTGTTACTGTTAGTTTGCCAATAAATACCATCTCATCCTCATTTGAAATTTATTGTTCTACAACTTGACTATGAAATGACTGTTTGTGAGATGTGTGTTTTTCAAACATATATAATTCACAAACTAATATATATAATTTAAACATAGCCATCTGTTAAGTGACACTTAAAATTTAATTAATGCTTTTGTGTTTATTTGTAAGATTTAGCATAAAGTTTTCTGTTTTGTTTTTTGTAGTTGTGTATGTACCACAAAAACCTTAAAAATTATTTCTGATATAAATAAAAATTAGGATCTCTGTAATTATTTTTGTTTTTGTGGATAAATATACATACAGAAACATTTTTAGGCATTAGAAAAAAAGATAAATCATACTTCCAAGCATATAAAAGTTTGCTATGGCCCTGAGTTTTTCTTCTGCTTTTTTAGAAAACAAAAAATCGAAACAAGTTAAATAGTAATTTTAGAACTGGAATTAGCCAATCAGTGTATAATTTATAGATGCCTGGAGCTGCAAATCTTCTTGATATATTTTCTTTGGGACAAGTGGAATCATCAGAATCATGCCCACCTGACTTTGCATGTGTGAAAGAAGAGCCGTTGTCTGTATGTGATGACCAGATCCGTGCAATAGCGAAAGATAGACAAAAGAAAGATAATCACAATATGAGTTAGTAATATCCAATATTTAATTTGTCACTTGTTTTTAAGTAACAAAAATAGAGTATTTATAATTTAATAAAATTCCCTTATGTATACTTTTGTATAATATATCTGTCTGTGTTTGAGTGTAACTGTAAAATGGAATTACAGCCTTGAAAGTTCTTTAGGTGTCAATAACAAGCATATTTCAAATTAAAATTACTTTCTCGTCTATATGAATTTGATCATAATTTCAGGTAAAAAAAAAAATAGTCCAAATATGTGTAATTTCATATCAACCTTTTTTTAAAATTTTACCATATTTTCTACCTATCCTCATTAAAAGAGAAAACTGTTCTTCCATTAATTTTTCTTTAGGGATGATGTATTTCTAGCTGTACACTTTCTGTATTTTTTGTACATTTTATTTATTAAAGTTTTAGTGAGAAGATGATTTCAAGTATTTAATTACATACAAGCCATATCCAAATTTTCTAATGAGTAAAATAATTATTCTCCAGTTTTATATTTTGAAATTAATTTGAGTTATAAAGTGGTTGTCTAATATAATTTTTTTCTCTCTGAAAATTTCAAAATAATAAATGTCCCCATTTTTACTTGTCTGATTGATCTAGGACCTAATCTAATTTTTTGTGATATACTTATATTGTAGATTTGTATCTGGTTTCATGAAAACTTTGTACATATTTATTTCTTGTTTCTATTCTATAAAGCTGTAATTAACAGGTGACTTTAATCAAGTTTGCCTTGTTTTCCATTTTTAGCTTTTGTATTTTTTGTTACACTGTAAAAACTTTGGGTTTTGTTTTAGTACAGCATTGAAGGTGTTTGCATTATTTGTGTATGAAATAACAATACTAATTTCAGTCTGTTTATTACTGATAGTCTGATCTTGAGTGATTATGAATTGATATTTTTAAGTTAATATGATACAGCTGTACAACTTTAAACTTGATCCTAAAATACTGACTAATATAATGTTGTGTTGTCACTGAACTACAAAATTTGAATATTATTATTTAATATTTGAATATACAGGCATGGATTTCTTGTGAATTTCCTTTTAGAAAAAAATTAACATTTTATTTTTATTTGAATATGCTTGAGAGAAAGGGTTTTTAGTTTCTTAGCTTGTATTGCATGTTATATGCTTTTGGAAAATTTTTGTTCAACAGTTGAAAGAAGACGAAGATTCAATATCAATGACCGGATAAAAGAGCTGGGGAACCTTCTGCCAAAGAACAATGACCCGTGAGTACTGAACTGCTTTACAGTTTTATTATTTTCTGGTATTTTTGCAATCAAACTTCTGTGGTTAGATGAGTTTAAAACCAGGCTGTTCACTGATATGGTAGTAAGTCAGCTTCATGAGATACTCATAGTGTCAGTTTACACTGAATAAGGTTGCCTTCAGGGAGAGCATGACTGATCATGTTACAGTTAAGTTGATGTAAAGAAAAGCTTTCTCATGTGTTTGTTAGTTTGTGGGAAAACAAAATCTTCTGAGATTATTTTTTAAAGCTGGTAAATTGATAGCAGTGGAGGAAAACAAAACAATTTAGTTTCATGCATGTGTTGTCAAGTTGTCCTGTTCTTTGCCACTGTTCAACACCATCTACTTATAGCTCTTTCCTGTTTGTTCAGTTACACGATACTTAGGATTAAGCAGTGACAATAACAAACATGACAGCTAAACTTCACTGAAGTTCTATTGAAGTTTCTTCACATTCATGAAACATTATGCTGCTCCTTCGTGTGAGTTGCCAGTTTCAGAAAATATCTTTACTATGGTAAATAAGATTAGCTTTCATACCATTTTTAGCCTGTCAGTTTTGAATAGAATGCTCCCTTAAAGCCTAAAGATATGTTGGAAAAAATGTATTTATTTTTTATTCTTTTTAGTTTTTATCTGATAAATGCAATGCTCATTACTGGAAAAAAATGTTTGTTTTTGTCTGCAATTACATTTTCTGCTGCACATACCACCTTCAATAAGTTAGTAAAAAAAAGACTAATGACATCATTAGTTAATGTCAAAAATCAAGTAAACATATCATGTTCTTTTATACAGAGTTGTCTGCCATGAGAGATTTTTCAGGAAGTAAGAAGTTCCAAGTCACTTGTCATTTTAATTAAAGTTGTGTCACTATTAACCCAAAATGAATGGGAGAAACTATGTTGGACTTGTTGGTGTTATAGCATTCATGTGAACTTGTGACTGTAAATGGATTGTAGAAACTAATATTGAAGAATAACATACTTGTAAGACAGTGTAGTCAATAATTTGTAGGATATTGCAGTGCAAGTCTATAATAATTTAATTCTGAATTCTTTTATGTTTGTATATGTTGAATCATGTTTTATACTTTATAGAAGTTAAGTATGGATTTAATAGAGAGTGTTAAATATATTTATGTTTTGTAAATCATCATATGTTTTCATTATTTCAACATGAATAGTATTTTTTATTTTTACAAGAGATTCAGAAATTCATTGAAGTATAAAGTCTAGGGTTTGAGTTATGTCAATGCAAGATAAATTTTACTCTAAGACTGGAATTATCAGTGTAGTTGAGTAAATAACTATTTATGAAATTTCCATGAAAGAAATTCTTGCATTTATTTTGTGAAATTTAAAAAATAACTTAAAGAGCCCACATGTCTATAGTATATATTGTACTGCAATGTTTTTAAACCAATGTGTTGAATGCTGACTTGAGAACTTTGTTGGATAAGATATTAGTGATAAATTATTATCTCAAATTATAAAATATTGTACAGGTACCAGCTGAGAGAGTCACCAGCAAATAAATAAAAAAAATATGGCATTATTTTTTATCAGTTTCTAAACAATAAAGTCAAAGAGAATAGAATTAAACAAACATATTACAAGATAAGTTATAGCTGCATAGTATCTTCATTTCCCTAATAACTAATTTGGTTTGGCTTACACATGAATATACACATGTATTATACTGCTTGCATTGTTTGAGTGTTTGAAGAATATTTGGGAGTTTGTTAATCTTAAAGCTGCTGCTTATGTCAGAACCCCTACACAAAGTAGGATACCAACAGTGAAAAGAAAATATAATAAATAATCATTAACAGCAGCTGAATTCACTGCCTCAAAGAAGGCTTGCTTACTGTTTATTGTTTTGAAAATTACTAATATAGGGTGACACTCTTCAAAACTGGCTTATTTTAGAAGAGTTTTTGTTTTGTTTGTTGAATTTTGAACAAAGTTACTTATGGCTGCCTACACTAGCCATCCCTAAATTTGAAGTGATACACTAGAGTGTTAATACCATCCACCATCAACCCTTGGCCTACTTTAATCAAATAGTGGAATTTTACCATCACTTTTATAATACATCCATGTTCCCAAAGGACAGAACATTAATATTATTTTTTGGTAGTAAGGGAACACAAATCATTGAACTTCAGATCCACGGTCCAACATGTTAATCACTGCACTTGCTCAGCATCAATAGGAGTGTACTAAGCAAAAAGAAAAAAACTTTCTTTTACCACAGATTTCAGAAACAATTTAACAAGTCTTAGAGACAACAGTTTTGTGTTGAGAGCATTGAATAATTGATTTGTAGTACTATTGCTGTCTACTCTCAGAATCCTTATAAGTTGTTCTACATTGAAAAGTATGCAAATAATACAACCAAGTGAAAATCTTCAATAAATTCATAGAAATCTGAAGTAGGCAAACAAAATTTTTTATATAGTAATTGAAATGTTTGAATGTAACAGACTGGTGATGATTATTTGTTGATCCATTTTTTTTTGTATTACCTTGTCGTATTTTCACTTACTTGTAGCAAAATTGGACCTCTTAAATATGGAAAACTCTGTTGCAGCCATTTTGACCTAGTCCGTGACCTCCGACAAAATAAGGGAACAATTCTTAAGGCCTCAGTGGACTATGTGCGCTGCTTGAAAAAAGAAGTTGTTAAAATCACTCATATGGAAGAAAGACAGAGACAGCTGGAGCACCAGAACAGGAAGCTACTTCTTAGAATACAGGTTTGTTCTAAAACAATTCTTTGTAAGAAATGGATTTATTTTTTGTTGTTTTTTAAACAATTAGCTGTGGCTTTTTGAAACTTTTAGTTGCATTATTTTTTGTGAAGCTGGGTTTTCATAGATTCCTAATTAAACAACCATCATACTTCAAAATCCACACAAATACTCTTTCAAAGTATGAAATACAAGAATTTAGTTAAAGTGGATCCACAGACTTATATTCTTGTTAATTGACTTAATGCATTACCAGTGGTCTGTTCAAAAGCTAGAAAATAGCCATGTAGAAATTGTGTGTAAATTCAAATAACTGTTGAAGCCAACTTTGAATCAATATGTTAATAAGTGTTCATTAGGGTGCATTGAAAATATAAATTTCTTATATCATTATCAGGGTATGCGATTGGTGCCTTTTAATAGTAGCAATTATGTGGGTAAGTTTCAGGCTTCTAAAATTACATCTTGTACTGACGCGAGTGTGTGTGTGTGGGGGGGGGGGTTTCCTTAAAACATCCATAATCAAAATGTATGAGAAATCAAAGTACCATAACTTTGAATATGCAACATTTAGCTAATTTTGGAGTTTTATATCCTAAATTACCCAGAACTCCCCAAGAGGAGGTATTTACATGTCAAATTACACCCATCCACTGGGCAGTAGAATTACTGGATTGTGTATTGTTTCTTAGTATTAAATTTTTTCATGATTTTTATGAGATTGAAGTTTTGCTCTAATGAATCCCTTTCTTCTGTTATAACCACAAACAGTTGTTGAAGCTTCTGTTACAATTTTAACATGCCTTTCAACTGCTTGTGTGTGACATGGCATGTTGAACTTGAAAACTGGTATGTCATATTGATTAATGAAAGAAACCAACTGTTCATTGCTTATATTTTTTGTAAGTTGTGGCTATACTCTCAGTCCACATTATTAGATCAGTATAATGTTGAGCTACCATATTGATATTTGGAACCACAAACTGTCTCATTGTGCTAGAATTTAAGGTAGATCGAGCAGCTAATATTATCCGAAGAGCAAGTTGTCTTATATCCATAGAATCTTCTCCAAGCATTGCAAGCAGCAAATTTTCCAGGTAGGTAAAATATGCTTTTCTCCAGATTACTTTATCCACCACATATTTCTCTGATTCAGGAAGAAAATGTGATTTTTTTTACAAGTAGAAAAAGGTGCAGTTAGCCATGAGGGATTTTTCTTGATATTAAACCAAATTGTTGCATACACTTCAATTACATGTCTCACTAACAAACTAAGCTTCTTGGATGGGTTAACAGTTGTGACGTAAAGGTGCAAACTCCTGTTTGCTGTTGTTAACCAGTGAGAATGGTTGATTGTACCAGGGTCTATCTATCTATCTCTGGCAGTTATTTTGATTTGAACTTAATTATTTCAAAAGAAATAATTAATAATCAGGGGTGCTTGAAGATTAAGCAGTCCTCCTTCACCCCGCACGTGTACTAGAGGTATGGGCTTGAATTGAAGTATAAACAAGAAATTGATACAAACAGGCTGTCTAGAAATCATAAACAAGCATAATTATAAACGTAAACGGCTGATATAGGACAGATGGTCCATCAGGATGGTGGGGATCTATAAATCCTATGCCAAGAATTTGTTGTGGAGGGAAATGAGATTACCCCGAGAAAACCCACTTTCACTGGTAACGACCAATCTCTTACTAGTGCCCAGTTAGTGAGAAGAAATAAATTGGAAAGGCAAAGTGAAGTCTGGTGCTGGGGGGTTGATTAAAGTTTAAATGAGTTACGGATTCTTCTGATGTTCACCAGGGTTTTACTGGGGTACAGGTTCAAGTTCCAGTATGGTTGTGACAGCGTGAAGTCCTCGGTGTTGCTGGTAAGTGGCCGGAGAGCTAGGAAAGGTTCATCAGGTAGGTTATGGTCAGAGGAAGTGTCAATTACAAGAGCGTTGGGTGAGTTTGACGATGAGGGTGCAGAAAGTGGGACTGGGCTGAGGGGCAGGTTGCTAGTTTGTTGACATGCATCATTGGTTACTAGTAGGACTGGCGGCTGGGTCTGTGTACCTTTTTTTCCTTCTTGTAGTGGTAGTTTGGTCATATTATTATCATTCTTGTGTTTCTGTCTCAGATGTGGGCGAAGTTTGAGTTGCTTTGTCAGATGTGATAGGTTGGGTGGTAGTGTTCTGGTTGGCAGCTGTTGCCATTCGGATGTTGTGAAACGTGGGCTTGGGGGATGAACTGGAAAAGGTAGGGGTGGGTGAGGCTTCCGTTATGGTTTCTCTGCTTTGAAATGGTAGAACTCAAGAGAGCAGCCGTGGGTAATGATGGAGTCTGCAGTTAGTTTGGAAGTTCTGACAACTTTCATGAAATGAGAGGGTGAACCAGTTTTCTCCTATGTGATTCGGTGGACTACGTGGATCATTGAGTTGGTTGTAGTTTTGAGGGCTTGATGGATTTCCTCTGGTGTAAAGGATATGTGGACATTTCTTAGAAATACTGTGTGAAGACTGGCGTTGCTTTTGGGGGTTGGCATGTGACAGGTGGGTTTGAAGACCAAGGGTGGCAAAGGTAATGGAAGTTTTCGGGTGTCCTGGGCTGGAGGAATATACCTCCCTTGGGGAGATGACGGGTGCGCTCAGGAAATACGTGGGCTTCGGGCTTGTAGCAACGGATAAAGTTGGCGGTGTCCCGAGGCGAGAAGTTGAGCGGTAGTCCGTTGATAATTACCAGCGGCGTTGGATAAGGGGACCGTCTGCTTGCTGGCAGAAATCATGGTAAACTGTTCATGATCGTGTTCGACCGTCTGTACCAGGGTCATGAAAAGCAAGTTCTCTTGAACAATGACTTGACACTACCACATTGCACATATCATACAAATATTTTTGATCTGTACTAAGATCCTCAGGATGGTCAGTTTTCAGTAATGGCTCTGTAATTTCGACTGAAACAAAGTTTACTGAAGGCAATTGATATATGTGCTGTCACAGTCTACAGCAACTAAATGATCAGATGAAATTTTGTTATCTTTAAAACATTGAATGATAGATTTTTTTATACCTTCTGTTTGTTTCCAGAAAAAGGAGAAATGTGATCCTTGAAAATTGATTCAGATTCCCTGACTAAAGTTATGTGCTATTCCATGACTACAAGTTTATAATGTTTTTACCTATTTTTAATGACAATTTTAGTTGTATCTTTTCTATCATCAAAGTAGATAGATTTAATACAGTTTGATTCCTCAGAAGTCAGTAATGTTTATCGGTATTTTTCTTGTTCATGTCGTATCTTGTTTTTATTGACAATTTGAACATTGTCATTTTCTTAAATAATGCCCATATCTTCCAAAACAGCTGAAGTAAGGGCTGCAGCAGCTCTATGTGAAATACAGTACCTGTCAGCTTCTCTCACTACCGTTGAAAGCGGTGTCCTCATTTGTTTATTTTAGGATTTGGGGATTTCAGTGTAGAAAGTGCAGTATTAACAACATCAGAATCTTTTGTGCTTGAAACCATTAAGTCCTCATGATTAACTATTTCATTTGGTGGAGAAATGATATACTTTTTTTCAAACTTTGGTTCTCTTTTGGCAGTTGAAGATATAATTGGAAGAGTTTCATACTGCATAAGATTAATTCTTATAATAAAAGAATAAAACACCCTGCTGACCAGCAATTACAAAATAAAATTTTTGACTAGGTAATTCTGATGCATCCTAGTGTTCATGCATACTATTGTCATTTAAAGTGAACCATCAAATTGTCAGTTATATTATTTTCCGATATAAAGTAAGATAAAATGTTTGTATTGTTTAACAGTTCAATGATGGCAGTTAAATTAAACAAATGTAAATTAATAAAGTATCTGTAATTTTGTCTTATTTCAGTATGTTGATATATGTCAATTTTTCTTATTTAAAGTATTGAAGCTTTACAAGAATTTTGAAACAATATTGCAACTGTACTAGTAGTTAATAATTTTTCTCTCATTCAACTTGAAGGAGCTGAAGATTCAGCTACGTTCACATGGCATCCCAGTTACAGACTACGCTTGGCAGCCACCACAAGAAAATGATCTGAATACCTTTGTTAAGCAGGAACCTAACCCTCCAAACATGTTTTTAAACACTCCTGGCACAAGCAGCACCTATATCAGTGGGAACACTCACTTGTCTACACTAGATTTGAACATGATTGGTTTGAAGGTAAATCAGGAGCCTCAAGCAAGTCCTACTCTAAACCCTAGATCTGGACTAAGCTCTACACTGAGTGCAAGCCCTGGTCATCCTCTTGGCCAGTATGATGAAACAATGATGGATGATGACATGCTTCCAGTTAATGGTGATCCCCTGTTGTCTTCTCACCACATGGGAGAAGAGGTTCTTTCAACTGATCACATGGAGTTTCTACAGTAAATCATGAAGTAAAAAGCTTTAGCCTGAAATATGTTATCCACGTTTCATTATTAGCCACAATAATGACCTGGACTTCAGATTATATGCTGTTTAATATGTTTTACATCATTTGTGTCCAAAAACTTTTATTTTTATTGGTTTACCATGTTCAAAATCATCTTTTTCATTTATCAGTGCCAACATAATGATAACTGAATACCTTTAGTTAAGTGTACAGTTTTGTCAATTTACAGTAAAGAGTAAGGGGAGATCCATTAATAAGCATCAAGATTAATTCTTGTGGCTATAATTTGTTGTCTGTAGCAAGATCTGTAATGAAGATTAGTATTGGGAATATCAAAATACAGAATTTGGTGCCTTTTTTGAACTTTCTAGAGTATCAAATTATTATAATTTGTAAGAAAGGTGAAGATTTGTTTAATTAAAAGAAAAATTGGAAAATATTGCAGATGTAAAAAAAAATATGACAAGAGAAAATCAAGGTTATAGACATTTGTATTAATGCTAGAGAGATTGAAGAGAATACAAATTGCCTAGTCTAGAAGACTGAATATTGATCAAATGATCATTAGTTTTAAACTACTACATTGCCTTATATTTTTTGTACAGGTTCCCATATGATGTAATGATTATTTGAATGTATGTTATAAACATGTATATATATATATATATTTTTAGATACTGTGGTGTTCTACTGCTATAAGCATTTTTACCAGAGATGATGGAAAATTAAAGTTTTATATAGACTTAAGCTTACTGAATGTGGTGTAAGACTGCTGAAAGATCTTGTTATCTTTAGTACTTTGTCATAAGTTTCCTTTCATGTTATCTTGTTTGTAGAAATGCTAAAAAGTTGTACTGTTAGCTCAACAGTTATTTCATGATCAGTGTTAAGTGTATTGGTTATAGAAATGTCTGAAACTCCATGTAAGAGCTTTTAAAAGTATTTATGAAATTATGAACTGCTGCAACCCTCAGTGATTTGGTCTGACTAGATTTTCTATAAAATAAGTCATTTATACTTTTAGGTGTGATGTTTGTATTACTGATTTTATAGTTCCTATAGATGGTATCTTTAGTGCAGTTTAACTAAATGTATTTCTTTTGATATACCTCTACCTTGATTTTTAAATTGGTGTGAAATTGTGTGGTTGCTTTAACATGAAATTATATTTATATTCATTACCAATTGATAAATAGCTTGTAATAACCTAATCACTGACAAGTGTTTGTTCTTTTAAATGAGTTTAAAAAACATATTCATCATAATGACTGGATACTGCATACTTACCTAACTTCTGTATGTAGACAATTAAGAAACATTTACTGTGAAATGTAATGGTTCTTACCATTGATTAAAAAAAAATTATATTAGGGAAGGCATGACCTAGATGGGTAGCATGTCACACTTTGTATTGGAGAGTCTGGTGTTCAAGATGTAATGCTAATGGACTTGCTCTAAACTTTTAGCTGTAGACACATAATCAAAGTGACAGTTAATCCCACCATTTGATTCAAAGAGCCAAGCCACTTTTGGTGGTGGGTGCTGCTGGCTTCTCTCTTGTTAGGCTACCTGAACCATAGGATTCTCTGACTTGGCCATTTAGCCCAAATATATATATGGTGTCGTTCAATTTGAAAGTTATAATTTTCTAACATAAAATATAAAAAGGAAGCCATAGTCCCTGGTGGGTGTATTACCTTACACTATCCTATTACCGGCTGCTTGATGTGCTCAAAGAATTAAAAATTAATAGATGAAATTATTACAATAAGGAACTGGAAGTCATATCGACAGTCAAAAGTAAATGTGTTTAAGAATAATAAACAATCTTTATGTGATGTTTTAACATTTTCTATTTACCAGCTTTGCTGTTAAACATTATTTTTTGACTTCAACATTAAGAGAAAGTATGTGTTCTTTACTGTATTTTACAAAGGATTGAAGCATAAGTGTCAGATGAGAGATTGGGCATTGGTATATTTGTTAGAACATTAGTTACTACTAACTATATCATGCCGAGAAAGGAATCTGTTGTAAAGGGCTTTACATGATAAAAAAAATAAAAGTAAACTCTTTATAATCTGCATGTATATTACTACTGTTCACCTAGACTTCATCACAGAGACTTAAATGTTTTTCCAGAGTTTACCTGAAAGTGCATTTTCATCAGAAAAGTCCACTGAAGAAACACAAACAAAAAATTGGAACTCAAAGCAACATTACTCTGTGCTGGTGGAATAGTAACATTTAAGTTGTTCTGCTGAAAAAAGATGGATTATTAAGTCATTAAGACTTTGAAAAGGATGGTCAATCACAAGTTATTTAGACTAAACTTATATGCAAATCCACACGTTCGCAGTATTTTAGAGGAAATATGTGGCATCAAACTTTTGGGGGGGGGCAGGATTTATCGTAAATGAATAATGTGTTGGAAAAATATCTGGAAGGCTGTAAAGAGGGCTTTAGTAAATATAACCTTGAATTACTGAGTTGATATTATAATTAGTTGTGTAATTTTTTTTTGCTTACTGGGGATAGCTCATTGTCTTTTTTTGTTTTGATTTTAACAAAAATTTGGATCTAAGATGCATTCATCATTAGAAATGCTTTGATCACATTTTTGCCATCCCAATGTATTATTTAAGGTTTAGGCTGTAACTTCACATGTAAATTTGTTGAAGAAAAAACAAGATTATATGTTATTATAGCATTGATGACAGAACTGGATACCTTAATGTATTACTTTACATTATATACAATTACTTTTAAAGAGATTTTTCCTGCATATATAAAATTGAACCCCATATTGTATATATTTTGGTTTTTCATGTTAAATTCGTATACTTTTTATTTCATTGTGTTCTTTGAAGAAAATATTGGTTTTTCATTATGAAATGTTAGTTAAATATTATTCCTAGAAGGAGAAATTATTTGACACTAATTTTTTATAGTTCTACATATGTAATGTTGTTAAAGCTTTTGTTGAAGTCATAGTGATTACTTTATTGAGATTTTTATGTTTAGTTATTTTATGGAAGTATTATGTATTCATAAGTGTTATAATATTTTATATTGTATTTCCACATACAGGATATAACAAAAGGAATACACCAACTCTGAAAATACACAGCATTCATTCAATATAGAGAACTTCAAACTTAAAATCGTTCCATATATTTTCCCATAGCTCCCATTCATAGTTTGGCATGTTTGGAGGTTTCATGATGTATCAAATATAGTCTATTTTGACCTTCATCCAACAAAAACTAACATAAAACAGTATGGTTGCTACTGTTGTTACATCCTGTATGTATTATGTGATGAATAACTGAATGAACTTAGTTTGTAGTACGTGAATAAAAATCATGTGAATAGCCTCACCACAAAATCATGACTTTTTTAAGAAAATAAAAAAATTGGCTACTAGTCTTCTCCATGAAAAGCTTGACACTAAAATGAACAACTAATACTGAACTCTAAGGAAAGTTGGTAACATTACATTAAGTGTTTTGTTAAGATACATGTCAAAAACATGATACACCAAGATTTACTTTCTCTACAGTTGTAAATTCATCACGTTCAAGATACAGATATAATAATACCATTTTTATTCACACATGGTGGAAGTGTATCAGCACAATTTTTTTTGTAAACATTGAAAATATAACATGTTTAATGTAATTAAATTGGAAGATCCTATTATTAATCGGAAGAAAGGAGTGAGCTTCTTAACTTAATGAAATATGTTAATGTGATACTGTTTTTTAAGCATTTTGTCATATTTCAGTATTATTCTGAAAATTACTTCTAACAACTTTTTGGAGTGTAAAAAAATTAAATATTAAAAAAATTTTTAAATGTTTTTAAAATTTGATTTCATGTTAATGATTTAAGAAGATGTACCAATGGATTTTTTCAAATTAATCAATGATATGTTATTCATTCTGGTTTATTAAAGTTCAGACTCTCATTCTTTATAATTGGTAATGTCCAAGAATATAATTGTTATTTTTTATAGAAAATATTACTAGAGTCAACCTAAAATTTTTGTTTACTCAAAAATGTTTATCATTCTTTTCATTCTGTCAAGTTGATAAGTAAATTTAAAAGAATTGAAAATGATTTTATAGTTTTCCATTACATATGAAGCCATTTCATTGTTGTTTTTTTTCATCTGTTAATCAGTTTGAAACATCCACGTAACTCATAATCATCTAAACCATTTAAATTCAACTGTGTCTTATAGATAATTTCATACCAATTCTTTTTGGCCAGGGAGCCAAGTGTGGCCTTATTGGTAAGTATGCTGAACCGTGTATCAGAGACTCCATGGTTCGCACCCTGTCACCACCAAAAAACAAAAATTGTGCTACACGATACGGAGCCATGGGTGCATTATAAGAGTGATAGTCAAATCCCACTATTGAATTAGAGTATCTGAAGAGTTGGTGGTCAGTAGTGTTGACTAATTGCCTTCCCTTTAGTCTATCACTTCAAAATAAGGGATGGCTAGTGCAGGTAGTCCTTGCAAAAGGTGCACTGTAAGACTTTTACATTCTTTGGAACTAATCATGTGTATGTTTTTTTTTTTTTTGCCTTTGCATTAGATGACCATTTTTACTTGATTTGAACCTTTGTACTACCATTATAAGAATATATATATACGTATAATATACAGAGAGAGAGAGAATGCAAGTAAAGCATTTTAACTGAAAGAGAGGCATGTTAATATAATCTTCAGAAATAATTTGTAATAATTTGAGATTTGATTCAGTGATAATCCCAATTCAAGCGCGTGTCTGGTATGTGTTACTGGAACCACTAAAAAATTTTCACACAATCACACATTTTCTGCTGCATCAGGTAATATATTTACGTTAGTGGACAATCTTAAGTGCTCAAAGGATGCATCTTAACGTTAAGAAAATCACAATCAGTGATGGTTTATCATTTGGTTTCCGAGGAGTTTACTTTTTGTTAAAACTGTGTAAGGTTTTATCTTGCTGTGTTTGGATATGGTATAAACATTATATTATATATATATATATATATATATTATGTTCTATGACGGCCATTCATGAAAGTTATATTTTTTGAATGAAAAATGTTGTTGCTCAAGTGTTTTAGTTAGTATGATACGTATTTTTTGTGTTTTTGTTACGTTTTTCAGAAAGTAAAAGTAAACATGTTTTCAAATGTGTTCATTGTATGTTGTTTTTTGTAATGAATTTTGTAATGCCACGAGTCAGCTTGCCTGAATGTTATACTTCAAAAAAATTTTTTATTCTGTATGTTAGTGCTACATTTCTTTTTTTTGCTTTGTCATATTCTCACTGCCACATATTTAAAATAATCAATGATTTAGACAAACACATTAGTTGCAAAAGTTCAATTAAAAAGATCAAACAAGTTAATCAAACGGTTGTAAAACAAAGATTTTAGATTTCGAGAATTTTAACCATATCAAAGTGATCGAGAATGAAACTTTTAAGAAACAGAATGACAAACTTTATTAGATTCTATAAAAAAAATTATTGGTTTACCTATTTTCACAATATTTTTTATTTTCACACGAATAAAGCTAAAGTGTTTCTAAAGACAAAGTGAATGGATTTGCAGGTATTAAATATTACTAGTTTTTTATTGTTTCAGTTTATATTTTTTATGTCTGCTATACACAGATATCTATACTTCAGAAATATTACGAAAGACTATTGTCCATTAAACATTTTACGTGAGTAAACTAACGAGAATAATAATTGGTTCGATTTTTTTTACATCCAATCTATATAAATATACGTCAATATGTGTGTCTGTCTGTTTCTTATGCATTTCCACATTTATTGATCAATCGGCACCAAATCTGATACAGGATGACATGAGGAGGGTCATGGGGGAGGGGGTTGGACCCCCAAACTAATTTCATATCTAATTTCGGAAAAAATATAATTGTTCTATATCCCTCACCATTAGAATGAACTGTAACCACTATTGTTATAATTCTTGAAAACGGTATGTCTTTTTTTTTTTTTCAGTATTGGTACCTTTATGTATTTTTATTGCAGTTATAATGTTTATTATATTAAGAAAAAAATAGAAGCACAATTTCCTGTCCTTTGTTACAAACAAGTTTCTATTTCACCCGTCCAACTAGTTAGATTAAAAGAAAAGAAGCAACTGTTTTGGTTCTGTTAACTATTTTACAACGTGGTAACAACTTGACGGTTATTATACTACTTTCAAAAATGGCATCTGATATCCTGCTAGAACTAATACTAAGCGTGGAGAAGAGGAGAAAACAAGACTGTAAATTGAGAGATTTTATTTTATTTTATGATATAGTACATGGGTGTATACGCGTCTTCTAAAAGGTTTATTGCTACATAAATGCTGTGGTTCGTTAAACGGGTTTGGTTCATTTTTGCTTTTGTTAACGTAATTTTTTATTATTATAAATAACTTATACAACGATTTTGGTTGCGTACAATAGTTTTACTTTTATAAAGAAATTTATCCTTAAGTTCCAAAAATTTTCGATGTTCACTAGGTCAATATCAAGAACAGTCTTTAACACAAATTAGTTCACTTATAAAACTAGCCCCTTTCTTTAGGAACATAATCTAGATTGATTATTGTTCTTTCCATAACTGAAGCCACATTTGTATGTTTTTAAAACAAGGTCCACGGTCTCTATTAAGAGATTTTTCTTTCGTTTTAAAATCTTAATCGTTTCTAAAATATCCATCGTTTTAAAATCTTTCACACAATGTAAAAGTTTTGTATTGTGCTAATTAATACCATGTCATGCATTACTTACATGTTCTGTAATCGCAGAAAAAATATGACAGTTGTTTTTTACATCTGATCTATGTTATTTGATCTGTTGTATCAATTACTTTTAATGACAACGAATGCACAAGCAAAAAGAATGTCAATTTTAACATAATATTTTTAAAATGTGTATAGTTCATTGAGAGTAGAAAATAATCAGATACTGTGCGAGAAGTATATAGTATATTACAAATTGTATCCAGATGTTATACAGTTTTCTTCTTTGTGTATTATATAAAGGCATCAAAATCTGAATACGTATTCTCACCAAATTTTCTTTAAAAAAAAAGATTTACAAATTCTAACGTACGTCAGCCTCAGTTTGTTAAAGTATGCAAGTTTATCACATTTTATGAATATAAATGTGGGCTATATTAGTCTCCATTTATAAAGAGTAGGAATTTAATTTTGTAACATGGGAACACGTAAGCTCAAAATTCGTACCACCACCAGCTGAGAACTACAGTTTCGAGCAAACTACGTCATCTTTCATTAGCCCTGTAACCCCTTTATCATGGATAAATTAATTCCTTCATAGAAAACTCACACTTGTCGATATTTTATACTGTAATTGATCGTCATCCAGCCAATCAGAAAGTGCACGCCAGTATAAAGCAAATAAAAGTACAAGCAGTTATACTATGCCAAGAAGTAGTAGTGTGGATCCAGTCATGGTTCAGAGGACTGAAATACTGAAAGGAAGCGTGTAGAAATCAAGGTTTTTGGCTGGTCAAGTACACTCTATTCGAAAAAATGTGGCAAAGTATGTTTAAATAAGTTTTGTTTGTTTCATATATTTGCACAAAGCTACAAAAGGATTAACTACGCTAATCGTCCCTAATTTTATACTAATAAAGTAGTACGAAAGCATACACCTCCAAATCTTGGGATACTATAATTGAATAATGGAATTTGATTGTCACTATTATAACACACTCACAACACCAAAGGGTGAGCGCGATTTTGCGATAATGGAACGCAAATCATCAACCCTGGCATTCATCATAGTCTGGGACGTTAACCACCAAGCTTTGCTTCGCTCTGTTTCAGTATAAGCTTTATGCAAGGCTTTGGGAGTATATGGAAGTAGTAACAGTGTTAAGAATAGAAGTGGTCGAAGTAGGAACCGAAAGCTCCATAAGTGATGTTTAAGTGTCTCAGGGAATGTTCTTTATGAAATAGATGACAATCGAGTACAGATCTTGTCAACTATCTTACTATAAATACAGGCTTGAATGTTATCCAGAAAACAGTAAGATACGCATTAGCACAAAGTGATTTCAATGGACGTGAGTTTCTTGAAAACCGTTGCCGATAATATCTAGCCATACCAACAGGTTTAACTGGGCTTCAGACCACAAAGAATAAATAGTGGAATCAACAAAGCTTAAAACGCGCTTTGAAAAATCGAATCAAATTTCAAATCGTTTGTCAATCAACGACAATTTGTTCTACGGCATAGTAGAGAACAGTTTCATAATCAATGTACAGTGAAGCATGATGGGGGATCAGTACAAGTTTTGGGATTGCATTTCGGACAATAATATCGTAACCTACACAAAAGTTATGAATCCTTACTGCTAACAAGCATATGCAGAGTCTGATCCATCATGCTATTCTATAAGGATCATACTTATCGGAAAGGATTCATCTTATAGTAAGACATTGTTTCGGAGCATACTGAGAAGTGATGAAACGATATCTTGATGGTAAAGGCCGATGGAACTCTCACAACCATGGCTTGGCCTGCACAAAATCCTGATACAAGTATTCTTGAGGCTGTATAGGTTTGCGTAGAAGTGATAAAGTCAAAATGCAACCAAACAACTCGGCTGGATTATGGGTAGGAATACAGGACATTTGGAACAATATTCCACAATCGTACATTCATAAACTGTAGGGCAACAAGGGAATGTTCCATAACATTTTATGTAAACAGAAAAAGTTCATATACAAAATGCTAGTGCATTGCACCACGTATTCGCTTTGTTTTTATTTAATATAACAAGGCTAAGAGTTGGCCCGGTAGCAGAGCTCTGGATCTCAGAGCTGGCAAACCGGGTTCAAATCCATGCGATAACTCAAAATATTTTTAGCACTTTAAGCTGTAGGTGCGTTATAAGAACGACAGTCAATTCCTTACGGTGTTAGAGTGTTGTTGTTTTGCCTCTGGTCAGAGGCTCAAAATTATGTGATAATGTTTTGCAACATTTATAAATTTTTGCCATATAGTTAACGTTACTCGTTATTTGTGACCTCAGTGTATTTATCACTTGTGTGATTCCACAATTATTTCCATTATTGTGCATACACCTTTATTCTCTCTTATTTCAAAGGGAATTCAAGGCTATTCTGTTTTCCAACTAGACTTAACATTCAGATTTCTTTAACTCTGGGGTTGTTAGTCTAGGTAACAAAACTGTACAATTACCAGCAGTTGTAAGCAATGTCAGCTATATGAATCTCCATTGTGTAACAATTTGTATCATGGACTTACATTTTCAAAACCAGATTTATCACGATTGTAGCGCCTTCAAGCGAACATTACACAGCCCGTTGTACTCATTGTTACAATATAACATTAGTCCACTTACTACCAAATTTTAATTTCGTAAGCACATGCACTAGGATTAAACAGAAATGCACATTCCCACCCCTATATAGCCTACGAGGAGTCTCCGCCTTCTCCCCAGATTTCAATGTTTCCTCCTTCAAACTTGGTAACGAGCAAATTATCCAACACCATTTCGAATAACTGGAATATATCTAAATATCATGTAAGCTATAAACAAAAACCAGCTTTTATAGGTTCAAATCTATCTAAATTATATTAACATATAATATTCTAGCATTACATTCAAATGTTTCAGAAAATACGGAAGGATTGCACACCTCCCTCCAACAACTACATTCTTCTGTACAGTTGTGATATAACTAAGGAAATTACAATGAAACTACCAGTAATATATTTGCATTTTTAACTCCTCCTTTCTACCATTTCCCTCCCCACCCCCAAACTTTCTACGAGGATACTCCTCATAAATCTCTTCTGTGGATGCAACTGGGCCTATATCACGTTAATACATCTAACAATCGTATCGGATTTAAGAGATAAATGTCAAATTTAAATGACCAGTTTTACGAGCATCCTTAAAAAATCTCAAACAGACATTTTTAGTCGAATTTTACAGTGTCTACGTATTCAGCATTCAATTTGAGAAGAAGGAACAAAATAAAAGCAACTAAATCAAAATGGTTTTCAAGTTACTGACTTTAGATAAATTAACGCTTAACGACGATTTGCAGTGACACTAATAGTCACTTTTTTACTTTACAATGAAGCACTTTTTTAGATTTGTTTTCGTAACCACACTGCTTTTTATTCGGAAAAAGTATATAAACGTGCTATATGTAGTATAATAACGAGAATAAGCTTCACTTTAAAGGCTGGGACGTGAATGTATTTTACCAGCTTATCGTTGTTCTTATTAAGTTTGTTTTTGAATTTCGCGCAAAGCTACTCGAGGGTTATCTGCGCTAGCCGTCCTTAAATTAGCAGTGTAAGACTAGAGGGAAGGCAGCTAGTCATCACCACCCACCGCCAACTCTTGGGCTACTCTTTTACCAACGAATAGTGGGATTGACCGTCACATTATAATGCACCCACGGCTGAAATGGGACGGGGATTCGAACCCGCGACCCTCAGATTGCGTGTCGAGCGCGCTAATCACCTGGCCATGCTGGGCCTCTTATTAAGATTTTAGTAGTTGCTTATAAAGACTGAAAATGAGGTGTGTTTAGTCAAATCCTCTGGTATTTGAAACATTGCGCCAAAAACATAAAGGATTGTAAAAATAAAATAAAAATTGTTTGCTATATATTTTAACTGCTGCATTAAAAAGTAAACATTATTTGAAAAAACATTTTTTATACTTACTTTTTTCGCTGGAACAGACTTAACTGTATTCATCGGCTTGTATATCTTGTATGCTTGTTCTTTTAAGAATTAAGATGTTTGCTTGTAATTAAGCACAAAGCTACACAATGGGCTATCTGTGCTCTGCTCACCACGCGTATCGAAACCCGGTTTCTAGTGTTGCAAGTTCGCAGACATACCGCTGTGCTACTGGGGGCAAGATATTTGCGATCCGTGAAATATTAGTTGTGTTTTATATAAAAAAAGTAAGGCTTTTGCTTTTGTAAGGAAATTTTGTGACTCAATTTATTCGGTTGACAATACAAAGGCAAGTATATAATACTGGTTCAAGGTCTATGAAAGTAGACTGAAAAAATACGGCAAAATAAAGAAACAACAAAAAATTGTTATAGAAAATTAAACAAAAATTTACAAAGAATTAATTTGTATTTGTGCGAGAAGTTTTATTTTATTTTTGAAACTGTCAGTCTTAGAATGATAAACTATCTGCAAGATTTATATCATTTGCAATTAACGTATTCGCAGATAATAAAAAGTGAAATAAGAAACCCTATAGACATCCTATAGTTAAAATTATTATTAAGCTGGAGACATGAAGAATAAAACAATGCCGATAGCTACAAAAAATACATTGACGGTGATTCTGATTTTTTCTCCGTAATCATTGCAATGAGATCCGTCCATGAAAGCATCAAACACTTTATCGACGGCTCGTAAAGTTGAGTCTTGTTCTCGACAGGACCCCGTAGAGGCGTCTTGGGTACACTTTCTGAATGTTTCATTTAAATTGCTGTCATGACAAAAAGAAATTTTTAAAAAAAGGTCAACTAAAATCATTTAGAAACATATATGCATTTGAATGATTTTTTTCTTCTTGAAGTTATTATATTGGATATTTGTGTATTTGTAATTTAAATATTTTATAGTTTAATAAAGTCTAGGAAAACAGTTACTGTTATATAAGAATTACAAAAATAAGTAGAAAACCATTGTATAACAGCATGTAAAGTTGACATTATAATATAATATGTAAGTATAACATTAACTCTTTGGTATTCTCAGTTGTACTGATTTATGTTAACAGATCTGACGAATACTATATCACGGAGTATGAGTATGTTTCTCCCTGACTCTGACTGAGTTCGATGCAAAGAAAGAGGTGGTACAAATATACACAGATCATAATCTTTATTCAAACACAAACAAAGTTAAAACAAAACAAAGCGATAACTCCTAAGTTCTTAAAAGTTAGGAGTTAAAGTTCCATTGTGGTCAAAGTTCTTTAAAGTTAAAGTTTATTTCAAGTTGAAGAAATGTAAATTTTAATGTTAAATCTTTACTAAGTTGTTCAAAAGCTCTAAAAATTTGTATAAAACTTTCATACAATCTTCAATATTGCAAAATCTGTTTAAAACAAAGAAAATCTAGCCAATGCACTAAAAAAAAAAAGATCTCTCTCAAAAACAACAGTGTTCCAAAACAAAGCAAAATTAGCTATATATATAACACTCTGTCTTTCTCTAAGTACACACGCTAGCCACGTGGCTGAGGGTCACTCTTAAATCAACAAAGGGTATCAAAGCCCTTAAAACTTCACCTTGTTTACAAGAGAAACGACCACTGTCACTATCTATGATGTATCACATATTACAAGATATTTTCTAATGAGGAACACTTGTCTTTGGGGCCCGGCATAGCCAGATGGTTAGAGCGTTTGACTCTCAAATTGAGGGTCGCGGGTTCGAATCCCCATCCCAAACATGCTCGCCTTTTCAGCCGTGGGAGCGTTAAGGTCAATCCAACTATTCGTTGGTAAAAGAGTAACCCAAAGTTGGCGGTGGGTGGTGTTGACTAGCTACTTTCCCTCTAGTCTATCACTGCTCAATTAGGAACGGCTAGCGCAGATAGCCCTCGTGCAGTTTTGCGCGAAATTCAAAACAAATAAAACAAAACTTGTCTTTGGTGACTCAGCCAATCCTGGGAACTTAAAGCAATAGATTCTTAATAGCTCTCTCTCTTGACTGACATTTTAGATTAATGCTAAATACATAGACATTTCAAAAACATTATGTATTAGCTCAGGAAACAGAAAACATATAGTAACTTGCTGTACCGAATTTCTTCTCCCCCTTATACATTCAGGCCGACCAATTAAAATTTACTCGCACATCGATCAAGAAATTGTTTTAACGTGTTCTCGTACGTATAAAAACACTTGCCTAAGAATACTAGCTAGTCACATAATGAAACCAATATTACACAAGCACGAAATTTAAAAGATAACCCAAAAAACAAAAACAAAAGCCCCCATAATATGGATAATCTACCCCACTTTATAAGATAATAGCAAACAACAATGCGTTACAAAATTACATCCACTAACAATGAATGAGCATATGAAATACAAAAATGAGACTTTTTAACAAATATACGTAAAACAAAGAAAAACACTCATAGATATACATGAGACAATACCCTTTAACAATGACAACCATAACATACAAAGGTATAGTTCGTTGTGACTTATCATAATGCCTTTCTATACAATATATCATTTCAAGAATAAGTTCCATCATGAAATTACAGGCCCTTACGCAGAATGTATAGAATGAGGATTCTAATTTGTGAGATGGAAAGCCAACACATATTATGCAAAGCACGATCAGCATGCTTTACATGCTAATACTATGGGGGTTTGGGAGCATGCGACTATTTCAAGCCAAAAATGCTAATGCTTCATCAGAAGAATGGAGACTATGTAGAAAACGTTAAATACCATAAGCAGCTACGCTATAACATAAGCATTTTTTTTTCTTTTGCATCATAAAAATGGGGATTTCGGCCGAACCCCCTCGAACCTCTCCTGCGTACTTGCGTAAATTGAGGCATATTTTATCTTTTCTGTCACCACTTTAGTATAAAAACGACTTCAGTCTGACTAAATTATGATGATTGAATCAGCTCACAATCTGCAGCTCTCTGTTCCTTAATCTCTTGTCTTTCAAAACGTTCTTTGTTGCTACCAGCTCCCCACCACCTACAAGTCCAGTTTGGTAAAACACATTTCTGATAAGTTAGGTATCAATGTAAGAAACTTTTTGTTATCTGTCAGGTTATTAGTCTGAATCGCTTAAACTGTAGTCACCTTTCTTCCATATCTTCATTTCCCATTCATGCCTTAGTGAAGTTCTTAGGGTTGATTTACAACACTAATAAAAACTATCACAACTGACTAGTTGAAAACAATATAGCCAACAATTTGATATTAAATGTCAAAAGTTGGAATGGAAATGTAGGATGAACTAAACTCTGATTAGTTAGGAAAATCAGTAAACAGTGTGGGTTAAAGCCGTAATAGCCCAGTTAAAGAGATGCTCTGCCCGAAAAAGTCTGTTAGGAGAAAGGTGCTAAAATCATGGTCAACAGTCAAGTCCCGTTTCTTCAGCCTTATCGTACTCACGTCTATCCCTACTACCTATAGACAGCTCGGTTGACAAAGGTATCCTTGAGTTTCAAGCTTCGCCTAAAATCCTATCTTCATTCTCGATATCATCATTTCCAGGACTCTGGTCCACAGTTATCTTTGAATCCTGCCACATTCTCTCCATTACTGTCTGATTGTAATACGAAATGGACCTCAGGTCTGGTTGGAAAGAAATAGGTGGGGCGAAACTACAGAGTTAGATACCCGAATTTCCATTACAATTTCTTGTTAGAGGCACGGTAAATAGGACTTTAGGTTGTATCTATTGAAATATTGAATACAAGTCTAAAGAGACTATAATGTTATTGTATAAGCCATTAGTTATGCCACATTATAAGTACTGTGTTCAGTCTTGGGTTCCTTACTTTTAAATGGCATTGAATTGTTGGAAAGGTTTCAGAGGAGGGCTACTAGGATGATAATTGGAATATAAAGATTGTCATGTTAGGAGAGGTTAAGTTCTCTGAAGTAGTTTTCTCTTGAAAAAAGAAGGGTTAGGAGGGATCTCGTGTTTGGCCTTTGGAATGAGCTGTCTTCAGATGCGGTAGATTCAGTTAATTTAAGCGAGTTTAAGCTTGATAAATATTTGAATGTTAAAGGCTGGATTTGAGTCTTTTAGTGTTTAGTTTGATTTAGTAGATAGGACAGCCTAGATGGTCCAAAAGGTCCCTTGTTGTCCTTTAATGTTATGTTATATGTTATGGATGCTGGGGCCGTCTTTTAATGGATTTATGATTTCTTAGACTGGTTTTTCTCCTTCGAAATGTATTCTCACCAATCAATTTACTCTAGATCCAGAACATGAATATTTATATCAAACATTTCTTATTTAACGAGAATCGTCGGATTTACCCATAGAAAGTGGCAATAACCATGTGAATGGTCATTTCCATTCCAAAATAGGGGAGGCCGTAACTCGAAATACCACCAGAGCTATCATGCTGTCTACATTCTTGCATATCGTGCAGCACTACAGCCATCCATATCATGGGCAGAATAGGTGTGACATAAATAAAATGACAAAGAAACAAAGGCATCTCAAGATTTTCTTACGATGTGTTACGCGAAAACTGCATAGGCTTATAATAAACGAAAAATTTTGAAAAGTTCTATATTAAAACGAGAAGTTGTGAAACGTATGGTGTGGCCACACGCAGTCAGAAGAAAACTTTATTGTATGATAGCACTTGACATTCATAATGCAATTCATCGTCATCATTTTAATTGCTTGTATGATATTTTCTCCTAAAATTTCATCAATTACCACATCTTCTGCTATATTTTCACAAGTGAACAGAAAGTGGTAAATTTCAATAAAGTAATTTAAACTGAGCTAAAAAAAGCAACTGTGAAACGCGAACCACTTCACTCTATTGATCAGTTGGTATGACATCAGTTTGAACGTATCAACTGAGACATCATAAGGGATTGTTGGTTTATGAATTTTAAATCCTGGTGCTGTTTAATAATTTGCGATTACAGATGATGTATCCTCCTTCCATGCTACGTGTACGTAATCTACAGCATCCTCATTCTCATTACCCTGATAAAGGTAACAAATTATTCAATCAAGTAATTGTAATTACTCCATAATTTTCTTTTTGTTAGTGCAAAGTTTCATAATAGACAATATGCGCTATGTCCTCCATGGGGATCGAACCCCAGTTTTTAGCGCTATCAGTCCGTAAACTTATCACTGACTCACCGTGGGACCTACTCCCTATCTCTATGTGTCGTAATCTATTTGTTGTGTTTACTAATAAGAATTTTACTCTCACATCTTTCAATTTCACATTCACTATGGAATCAGAAGAATGTCTAGCAATAGAATTACTTCACGCGCTTGTCAAATTTAACCAAACTTTCAGTAAACAGCGGTTTTGTCATCCATGCTTTTTGGTCTAACCTATACAAAACTAACAGTGATTTCACATTGTACAATAAGAATGGATATATGTTTTAGTTGCCAATTAAGAGGAGTCACAGTGTATACTTATCCGAACCATAAATATTCACACCAAACACAATAGTTACCTTTCTTTTTTACCGTCTTCCCCCACTGAAACATCTCTCTCCTCCTCAATTGTCATAGTTCAGTCAGTCAACAAGCGATATAACAATCTTAACAAACTAGACCGTCTGTGAATTTAATAAATATCTTAAGATGTGTTATGCACATCTCATGGTTCGGAATTGTGTACAATGTTCTGTGTTGGATATACAAGACTGTTTAGTGTAAGCGTTATTATTTAATTTATTTTGTGACTTAATATTTAATGATTAATTACTTTTCATAACAAGAGAGTATAAGTATTTATTTTATAGGCGATAGTTATGACAAGTTTCGTTGCATAACTCGATAAGAGTCGTACCTCGTGTGTGTGGTTCAGTTGTTGTAGTATTGTTGACGCAAAGTTACTCGAATCTTCGGTATTTTACTCGTTAACTTAAGTGAGTATTGTTATGTTATAGCGTCGCTCGCGTAACTTATAGAAAGTTCGAAGCCTCATTGAACAAAATATAAATATAGGCGATCAAGCGAGCAGAAGTCAAGTATAGGAAGGGAAAGTTAAGTAAGTAAAAGTTCAGTCAGAAAAAAGTTAGAGAACGTGAAGTTAGTCGGGGTGTGAGTGATTAATCATAACGAGCGATATTTTAAAGGGAGTTTCACAGTTTAATAGAGATAAGGAGAATAATTCGTCTTATCAAAGGGTATTCTAAAGTAATTGAACCCGTCTGTGTGGACTTTGACGAAAAGGAGACAATTATATAAAGTTCGAGATACAGCTGTGGTAACTCATGAAGTAACGTAAATGAATTTATCGCAAACTGTACAGTAAGAAACAAAGTGGAGAAAAAATAGTCCGACTTGTCAATTGGATTCTAAAGTAATTGAATCAGCCTGAGTGGACGTTTGACAAAAAAAAAAGATAATTATTTAAAATTTTGGATAAAACTGTGATTTCTTATTGTGTGAAGAATTTTTGTACGTACATTTGACTTGTTTTGAATATATTATTTTAAAATAAGTGGATTGTGTGCTGTCGGTTTATTGTTCGAATTTATCGCCAACAAGTCACAGACACCTACTGTAAAAGAATCCCCAGCCCACATTTACATAAAACCTTGACATTCTGTAAAGTTGATAGCCACATGTTCACAGACTAAGGATAAAGAAACGTTAGAAAATCACTGGTAATTTTCCAAACAACGCCATTATTTTTTATATTGTTTCGAATATTCTGAATTAGTTTTGAGATCTGCAATCTATATTTCTTTTTTTGCAAATTCTTTAGCATTTCCCACATTGTAATGTTCTTGTTGCGCATTTAAGGAAACAACTTAATTAAACTGTCCTCTAATTCCCAATAAACTGGTGCTTGATATAGTTTTCGCTTTGAGCCACTATTGCTGTCGCAATAACTTAAAATTGCTTCTCAGTTCTTTAAAACTGTACTTAAATTTGACTATGCATCCTTTAACACCAGAATTCGCTGCTTTAATAAGTACATCTTTAGTTTCAAAAGTAAGCGCTTTGCGTTTCTTTGTGTCACTCATGTTCATTGTATGCTAACTTAAGGCTAAAATTTGAATAGGCTAACAGTCGTGCATGCGCATCAATATATTGTGATTTTTCGTATTGTTTTGTAAAATAACAGAATATAATACTGATCTGTGTGTATTGATATGTAAATTGTAGATATATAAATATGTTGATATTATACACGTACAAAAAGTAACCATTCCAGATGAATATCAAGTGTTTACAGATAATAGATCACAGCTGATAAAAAAGTATATTGAGCTTCCATGTAAAAGTAACATTGTTCTCTTTTCAGATCTCAAACTACTACTTTATATTCGTGATTTTGATGTAACGTTGTGCGTTATAAACGTGAAAATACAACATGATCCGTATTGCAATTACCTTATGCAACTACTTTGCAAGAAGTCGAACTTTTCTCAGTTTTGTTTTGTTCTGCAAGACCTAAACTTAATAATATTTGTTTGTTATAAATTGTGTTGTGTGTGTGGATGTGGACGGAATTAATCAAATATAATGTTAGTTATTGAAATTGGAGTTCTGAAATAAGCATATATCTCTCGAAACACGTTTGGGCTTGAAACATAAATATTACGGTCTTAAATAGCTCGTTAGTTTTCGACAGCAAAGGAAAATTTAGAAAAATGAAATTTATGGTCGTAAAAAAAAGTAGAAAGTTGCTTTGGGTCAAAGCTGAATAGCTAATAGAAAGTAAATATGTAGAAGGAACAGCCAATGGGAGGCTGAGGCTTTCTTCCTCTCTTCTGAACAAGCTCTTTCCTTTAAAGGGAGGGAATATCTATGCTCAGTGTTATTAAGAATAGAAAGCTCGATAATGAGCAAGATTTGAAGGAGAAATAGGACACATAATTTGGACACTAGTCTAAAAGAAATTATTATAAAATTCAAGAGAATTCTCCTTAATTTAAAATCAGTTATTATATTGCTTACATTGAAGAAGACGTTTATTTTGTGTTGTTGTTTTTTTTCATTTTATCTTGGCTTTTAATTACTAACCTATTATCCACTGCACTAAATTAATGTTCTTACTAGCAGAGACCCGCAAAATATTTCCGGCCATATTAACATCTTTCTTCTAACAGTACTTCTTAAGATATAACGTCACGACAGCGGAAGTCACGCGAAGCTGGGAGCATGCGCGCTGGAGTTTCTCGAAGGATCATGAATTATCGAGGAACCCTGTAAATGTCCGAATGCTGGCGAGAAAAACCAGCGAAATGGAGGAGATAGATTAGAGATATAGATAGGACGGCAGA